CTTCGCAGGACGCACGCGGCCCTCCTCTGCTCCCCACGACAGCCACGTGCTTCCTTCTCAGGTGGAGCTGGCATGCAGTCCCAGGATTCCTACTCCCTTCCCCACTCCCCTGGGCCAGCAGGAAGCATGGGGAAAGTCCCCGCTGGTGCGACCGATCTGGCATGTCAGGAAGCATGCCAGCTGTTTAGGGGAGGGGAAGAGCAGCCTGCTCTAATCCAGTCCCTCTCCCCTTTTCCAAAGCCAGACGCAACCCCCCCCATCCAATCCCCTTCTCCCCAGAGCCAGGCACACACACCCCAACCCAATTCCTCTCTCCTCCCCTTCCCCAAAGCCAGGCACACACACACACCCCAACCCAATTCCTCTCTCCTCCCCTTCCCCAAAGCCAGGGACACACACATCCCCCAACCCAATTCCTCTCTTCTCCCCTTTCCCAAAGCCGGACACACACACACACCCCCCAACCCAATTCCTCTCTTCTCCCCTTTCCCAAAGCCGGACACACACACACACCCCCCAACCCAATTCCTCTCTTCTCCCCTTTCCCAAAGCCGGACACACACACACACCCCCCAACCCAATTCCTCTCTTCTCCCCTTTCCCAAAGCCGGACACACACACACACCCCCCAACCCAATTCCTCTCTTCTCCCCTTTCCCAAAGCCGGACACACACACACACCCCCCAACCCAATTCCTCTCTTCTCCCCTTTCCCAAAGCCGGACACACACACACACCCCCCAACCCAATTCCTCTCTTCTCCCCTTTCCCAAAGCCGGACACACACACACACCCCCCAACCCAATTCCTCTCTTCTCCCCTTTCCCAAAGCCGGACACACACACACACCCCCCAACCCAATTCCTCTCTTCTCCCCTTTCCCAAAGCCGGACACACACACACACCCCCCAACCCAATTCCTCTCTTCTCCCCTTTCCCAAAGCCGGACACACACACACACCCCCCAACCCAATTCCTCTCTTCTCCCCTTTCCCAAAGCCGGACACACACACACACCCCCCAACCCAATTCCTCTCTTCTCCCCTTTCCCAAAGCCGGACACACACACACACCCCCCAACCCAATTCCTCTCTTCTCCCCTTTCCCAAAGCCAGGCACACACACACACACCAACCAAATCCCCCTCCCCTCGCTCTAACCTAATTCTTGGGTCCCGGAGCCACAGCCACGCTGCTACAGCCACGCGTCTCCCTCCAGGTGCTGGGGCACGAGTGCTGAGCAGCTGGCTTTGAGTATGAATGCAGCCGGAACACCATGCGCAACCCAATTCCCCTTCCCTTCCCCAGAAGGCCAGCACCGCCCCTCCCTGCTGTAACCCAATCCCCTCCCCCCCACCAACCTTATGCTTGGGTCCCATAGCCAGAGCCACTGCATCGCATCTGAGACACCATGCACACCTCTCCCCCCCCTGCACCTCCCCCCC